GTTATCCCACCGGTTAGCAGCGCCGACACGTTCTAAATCGTCCAGCCATTTCTCCACATCTTCCCCGCGTATACCAGCGAAGGGATGGGGCTCACGCTGGAGGCTGTTAATGACGTGAAAAGGCGCGGCACGCGGCGGTGGAGTGGGAACGGCTGCAGCACCGACCTCTTCTTGGTGCGACATATTTCCGGACACCTGGCCCAAGCGGCGACCTGAACGTAGCTCCAGGGGGTAGAGTGGTCGAGAGGATGGCGGGGGATCTACCCCGCACCTCCACCACGTATGAAGTCTTGGTTTAGATTACCTTTTATTAGGCCCGAGGAACCGGCAGCCGACAGCTATGATGAATGAGCCAAGATGATGATGCTACGCGACAACGATGAGGATGCATGAGCCACACATGATAATGATGATAATGTACCGGTGAAGAGGATGCGTATACTAAATGCCCACAATATTCCAAACATTTTCCATTCTTACCTGACGAATGTTTTTCAGCGAGTTCAAAAAGGCAATTAAAGAAATTACTCGCTGAGCTGTAAAATCACATGGTCTATTTGTATACGACGTATGCTCTGGGTACCACTTTTGTTCCTCTTTTTTATTTACTGCCTGTAAAAAAGTACTGGTGTCAATCGCTTGTCTGCTCGTTTGTAAGGAAACAACAATAGTTTTGCTACCTTCTATCTACATTGCTGCATCCGGCTCTGCCGGGCCTAGTCACACAAGTCGCGGGTACTTCGACAGGACCGTTTCTTTGTATTTCTTATGAATGTGTTCAAAAATTATTATTATATTATTATTATTATTATTATTATTATTATTACTAATATTATTATTATTGTGTAATAATATATCTATATTACTAATCTCTTCAAATAAAAAAGTTATACGACCAAGCCTGCCAAAGCCATCGGTGGCTTGAGTGGTGTAATTTTGCTCGCAGCAAAAAGCAAAACTCAATAGGTGGTTCCTCTTTCGTACTGTATATTTCATTCCACCTTCATGCTATAAACCTAAATGGGGCATGCAACGCTTTTTGACCTTGGTCAAAAAAATGTGCTGATAGGTAGTAGAGGCTCCCAGAAACAAGCGAGCCAAATAGTTTAGCCCAACACGTCCCCTGGAATTCACATTATTCAAAATCAGGTAAAATCGCTTTCTCTTCTCTCTACAAATGACGAAAGACGCTCAAAAATCACTAGTATAAATCCCTCCTATCAGCCATTGGCTTATTTGAACATGACGCACTCGGCCGTTACAGAAATCACCGCGGGAGACTGCGAATTTTCACGTAAGCGCACGCGATCACAATAAAGAAGCTGTGTATTCGAAGAAAAAAAAAGTGCACAAGGTCTTGAGGCGCACGTGACGTATTGTCTTTGCCCCTGCCATAACTGCCTGCTTAGCTTCCAGCGATTTCGTCGGGACGAGAGTACATAGATTGAAATACAGCAAGTGAAAATTTTTGTAACTGCACTCACACTGGACGGATTCTGAAAACTTTTGTGGTGTCGAAATTGTGGACAACAAGCTCTTTTAGTGAATTCATTCTATGATTACTTAAAAGATTGTTTCTGGGCCTTTTAAACATCTCATTTCAAAGTCAGCTAGAAAATGCTTTTTCTTCTCTCTAAACATGACGCAAGAAGCTCATCAAGCTCAAAAATCACCGGTAAAAGTAATCTGTTAGATATTAGCTGATTTCAACATGGCGTGCGTGTTCGTTCCAGAGATTAACGCGTGAATCCGCAACTTTTCCACGCTTGCACGCACAAACGCTCTGAAAAAAGCTGCGGGTTCGAAAAATAAAAACGAAAAAAGTTAAGGCACACGAAACCGGGGCTTTTTTGGGGACGAACGAAGACAGAGAATGCTATTGCAGCGTGCGACGAATTTTCGTAACTCCGCTCGAACTGTATATATTCTGAAAACTTTGTAGCGTTGAATTTGTTGAACTTGCGGCGTTGTATTTTCAACAAACTAGTTTGAGGAGTTCAATCCTTGGTTTCCTCAAAAGGTGTTACTGAACCTCTTTACTAGCTTTACTTGACGTCTACCTTCTCAGAGTACGATCATTCACTAATTTTTCCGAACTTAGTCTCGAGGAAGTTCAACTTCGGAGCTCGAAACTAAACACTGACAACAACGAAGACGGGCTACACGCATCAATAGTTTACTTCGAAATATTTTAAAAAATGTACCTTACGGTTGTAAGATTGATGCCAGTACTATATTTAGGGAATTGTGCTTTTGTGTATTCCGGAATTTGTTTATTAAGACAGTTGTTCTAAGATACAATTGAGGTGATGACTTTGAAGTGCAATATGTAACGCGTCGACCCATGAGAGAAAAAAAAGCGTTTTATAGTTCTCTGGTTCTCTACCAGATATGGAGAAGCATGTAGAAATGTATATATTCCAAAAATTTTCAATGCACTACCTGACGAATGTTTTTCAGCGAGTTCAAAAAGGCAATTAAAGAAATTACTCACTGAGCTGTAAAATCACATGGTCTATTTGTATGCTCTATGTCCCACCTTTGTTCCTCTTTTTTATTTACTGCATGTAAAAAAGTACTGGTGTCAATCGCTTGTGTGTTCGTTTGTAAGGAAACAACAATAGTCTACCTTCTATCCACATCGCTGCAACCGGCTCTGCCGGGCCTAGTCACACAAGTCGTGGGTACTTAGGCAGGAGCGTTTCTTTGTATTTCTTATGAATGTGTACAAAAATTGTTAATATTATTATTATTATTATTAATATTAATAATAATATTATATTAATATTATGTAATACTATATCTATATTATTAATCTCTTCAAATAAAAAAGTTATACGACTAAGCCTGCCAAAGCCATCGGTGGCTTGAGTGGCGTATTTTTGCACGCAGGTAAAAGCAAAACTCAATAGGTGGTTCCTCTTCCGTACTGTATATTCCATTCTACCTTCGTGCTACGAACCTAAAAGGTGCATGCAACGCTTTTTGAGCATGGTAAAAAAAACTCTGCTGATAGGTAGTAGAGGCTCCCGGAAACAAGCGAGCCAAATATTTTAGCCCAAGACGTGCCCTGGAATTCACATTATTCAAAATCAGGTGAAATCGATTTCTCTTCTCTCTACAAATGGCGAAAGACGCTCAAAAATCACTCGCATAAATCCCTCCTATCAGCCATTGGCTTATTTGAACATGACGCACTCGACCGTTACAGAAAACACCACGGGAGACTGCGAATTTCCACGTAAGCACACGCGATCTCACTAAAGAAGCTGCGTATTCGAAGAAAAAAAAAAGTGCACAAGGTCTGGAGGCGTACGTGACGTATTGTCTTTGCCCCTGCCATAACTCCCTGCTTAGCTTCCAGCGATTTCGTAGGGACGAGAATAGATAGAATGAAATACAGCAAGTGAAACTTTTTTGTAACTGTACTCACACTGGACGGATTCTGAAAACTTTTGTGGCGTTGGAATTGTGGACAACAAGATCTTTCAGTGAATTCATTCTATGGTTACTTAAAAGATTGTTTCTGGGCCATTTAAAACTATCTTTTCAAAGTCAGCTACAAACTGCTTTCTCTTCTCTCTAAACATGACGCAAGAAGCTCATCAAGCTCAAAAATCACCGGTAAAAAAGTAATCTATCAGATATTAGCTGATTTCAACATGGCTTGCGTGTTCGTTCCAGAGATTAACGTGTCTATCCGCGACTTTTCCACGCTTGCACGCACAAACGCTCTGAAAAAAGCTGCGGGTTCGAAGGAATAAAAACGAAAAAAATTAAGGTACACGCAACCGGGGCTTTTTTGGGGACGAACGAAGACAGAGAATGCTATTGCAGCGTGCGACGAATTTTCGTAACTCCGCTCGAACTGTATATATTCTCAAAACTTTGTGGCGTTTAATTTGTTGAACATGCGGCGTTGGATTTGCAACAAACTAGTTTGAGGAGTTCATTCCTTGGTTTTCTCAAAAGGTGTTACTGTACTTCTTTACTAGCTTTACTTGACGTCTACCTTCTCAGACCACGATCATTCACTAATTTTTGCGAACTTAGTCTCGAGGAAGTTCAACTTCGGAGCTCGAAACTGAACACTGATAACAACGAAGACAGGCTACACGCGCCTACATTCCGCAGGATTTTAAATGCAATGCATTTCTTAGCTAACTTCGGTGACTTTCAGCGTAGCTAATTATCTATATATCTAGCTGCCTTTGACTTTTAGCTTATATATTGTTACTATCGCACTTATATATTATTACGAGGAAACCACGTAACAATATTTAGGTGCGAAAGAATGAACAAAACAAAGCAAATGCCAAAAAGACAAACATAGTCATGGATCAAGCCAGTGATCACTAATTTATTTTAGCCAAGTATGTTTAAAAAAGTGGTTAACAAATTAGTGTACTTCGTACACTACTATTGCTGCTAAAGCCAAGTATTCCACAGTGAAGGTCGTTGTTCTGCGTATTGTGGGACAGACGGTGTGCTCACACACTCATCACATCCTGTTTTATTTCAACAAAATGAACAATCTGCTTGATTAACAAATCTAGACCACGATATACAGTTGTTATCATGAACTGCATCAGTCTGACTGCGTCATCAGTCTGACCGCATGAAAAGTCAGACACATGCACTGCATCAGTCTGACTTTTGATGTTTGACCGCACCATCTGTTTCACTTACGTAGCAAGAGCTTCACTTTTTAGAAAGTGCGTTCGAAAGAAGTTTATAAGTAACTTGGGCTTTCATAATTTGGTTAGTTCAGGCTACGTTTCTTTTTGTTGATGTTATTTCGCACTTGAATATGCGTTTGCATTTTGTAACTAAGAAGCAGTTCATCTTCAACACTTTTGTCTCGTGTTGGATGTTGCTAGTGTTTATTACTCGTTTCCTGTGAGGTACATCTGTACCAACTAGCTCTATTTACATGTCTACTGAGTTGAACAAGTGTCTGTGTGTAAAACATTTCAAGTTTCGTATTCGTTTTTTTCTAGTTGCTGCAACACAACACACGTCTACAAATATTCTTGACAGCTACGCTGCTTTGGAGGCTGAAACGGGATGTCTGCTTCTCTCGCACGGCCAATCAAGTGACGGTATTTTTTTTTGCTGATACATTCTTTAAATGTTATGTGGTTTACAAAAGCGCATTAGATTTTCATGGAGCTTTAAGGCTAAACAATTACTTAGCTAAGTTGCAGAAAACGCTTGCGTTCAGGCTAGCTAAAACATCCATATCTGGCATGCACGTGTGCTCTTCTGGAGGAAATCACCGCTAGGAGTTGCAACAGTGCATTTTTTTGTTGGTAAAAGGCTTAGTGTTAACCATAGTATTACCTGTGGCTTTGATGATTATGAGTCACTTACCAAACATGCATGACTCATTTGTTCAGCAATATAGAAAACTGGTGCTCCCTCTGAGAAATGGCAGTAGATGCAACAGCCTCCAGTCTCTGCAGTCGTTGTTTTTATTGATGCACCACACAAAAGTACCGCGCTCAACATTACAGTCCTGTTATTTCTTAGTGTTCACACGGTCCAGTTGGCACGCTTCCTCAGCTCGTTGAACAAAATAGTCGGCATCCAAGTTGTCAGTTCTGACCATGTCGCATAGAAGTTTGGCATTTATTATCATCTACACATCACTACCGAATAGAAGACAAAACGGCGTGAAGCGTGTTGCCTCTTGCGTGGCAGTTTTTTTTGCGCCAAAGTTACGTAACGCACTACGTCATCACACGTCTTGTGCTGTACGTCTATGTACAAAGAGAACATGTCAACCATCGCTATGTTTATCCTTTCGGTACACACGTTCGTTTTTTGGTTATAGGCTGTATTTCTATGACGCGTGGTTTACCTTAGCTGGAAGACGTGTTCAAGGAGCCTTGCCGTAAACGCTGCTCTTCAGTCTGTCATGACGAATGGAGCACCGCGTGGCCTTGTACAACGCTCTCTACAAAATTATCAAGCAACTTCAGAAACTGTGGCCCGACCACAGTGGTATAGTGGCTAAGGGACTCGCCTGCTGACCCGTAGCTTGTGGGAGTGAGTACCGGCTGCGAGAGCTACATTTTCAGTGGAGGCGAAAATGCTATAGGGCCGCCTGCTCAGATTTGAGTGGACCTTCAAGAACCCCAGGTGGTCGAAATTTCCGGAGGCCTTCACTACGGCGTCTCTCATATTCATATTGCAATTTTCGAATGGTAATCTTAACGTATTGAACAGTCATCAATGAATTATTCATAAGTTATTGTGTCTTTGGTAAGAGCCTTTTCTGCGTAGCAGGTAAATAATCTGCAGCGACGGTTATCCACTTGTTTCCCGAAAACAGTAAGGGAAATGGGCCCAGGAGATCCATGCCGACCTGATCGAAAAGTGTTCCAGGGGGATCGATTGGGGGAAGTAGTGCTGCAGGCTCCACAAAGGGTACTTTTGGCACTGGCATTTTCGGAAGGCTTAGATGTATTGTTTAACGCAAGCGGCAAGCTTTGGTCAGTAGCAAGACTTACGCAACCTAGTGAGTGTTCGGGTGATACCTAGGTGGCGAGACGAAGGTTGGTCTGGAAAGGCAAATAGAAATTTCTCACGCTCTGCTGAAACGGCCTATAGATAAGTTTGCTCGCTTGCGCTGCGTTCTTCTTGTACAACACGCCCAGTCGTACAAAAAAAGATGACAATCACGAGTTAGAGGAGGGGTAGAGACACATTGCGGCTCTTTAGAAGTTCATTTATAGGCCGCTATTTAACATCCGCTCGCTGCTTTGTTGTTACGTCTGTTTTGCTAACGGCTCCGAGAAAAGCGCAGTCGTCTTCGAGGATTTGAGCGGGGGGCCCAACTGGCACGTGTAACAACGTGTTTGAACCTTCGTGCGCACGACCCAACTTTTACACGACAGTGACGTCATACTCCGCCAAGCATAGCCTACATCTGGCTAGTTGTCTGAAATAGTCTCTTTGGTTCACCAGCCGGCACAGCAAGTGATGATTGTTTCCTGCCCTGAATGGGCGTCATTAAAGATAAGGTAGAAAGAAGCTTAGCGAGTGACCACACGATGGCAAGACAGTCCTCTTCAGTGGGGCTACAGTTCGACTCTGGGCGCGATGGCGTGCGACTGGAGTAAGCAATAACTTTATCAACTCCCTCCAGCTGCTGTACGAGTACTGTGTCCAGACCGACGTTACTGGCGTCGGTATGAATTTCTTTCTCGGCTTCCTCGTTAAGTGTTCAAAAGCAGGTGGTGCTGCCAAATAATGCCACAGCTCGGTGAATGCCGTATCTGGTTGGGAGCTACAGAAGAACTGCCTGTCGTCTCTGGTGAGTCGAGTAAGGGGTTCTGCAATATTCAAAAAAATTCATATTAAGTGCCGCTAGTGTGCACAGAACCCACAGAACAGCCGAACACTTTTCTTATCGGTAGGAACCAGGAAGGCTGCTAGAGTGCCTGTTTTCTAGGAGTCAGGACGACGCCTTCCGCGCTCGCAACATGGCCAAAGAAGTTCGATTCCCTGTAACCAAAGTGGCATTTCAGAGGATTTAACGACTTGTTCGCCGATTGTATTGTCTCGACGGCCTGTTTTAGCCAATTCATATGTTCGTAGTAGGTGGCTAAAAACACGATCACGTTAGCTAAGTAGACAAGGCAGCTTTGCCACTTTAGGTTGGCTAACACAGTGTCCGTCATGCGCTGGAAGGTAGCTGGCACTGAGACCAAAGTAGAGCAAGACCAAACGGAAGCACTCGAAATTCATAGAGTCCATCTGGCGTGACAAATGCTGTTTTTCACGGTCGCACTTATCAACCTTGATTTGCCAATAGCCACAATTCAAATCAAAGCTAGGAAAATACTTCACTCACCGTAGCCGATCAACAGAATCGTGAATGGGCGGGAGTTGATAAACGTCCTCTTTTGCTTTAGAAGTCGTATTCACGCGATTGCTTTCCCAAAATCAAGCCTGCGTAAGGCAAGTTTTCAACAACTCGCAAGCACCGGCGTAGCTCAGCGGTAGAATACTGGGCTGGCACCTAGCAGACCCGCGTATAAGCCCCCCTTTGCCATTAGTATTTGTTTTTCTAATTTCGCGCGATGCGGTTACGGACACCGGCGGAGGCGGCGGCAGACAACTGTGGCGCTGCGCGAGACCCAAGTTTTGATCTCATAGCAGCTTTCGCTGTGAAACCATTTAAACATCTTTTTATCCATACTCTAAATTCCCCGGACGATACTCCATGATTTCACATTCATTTTATATCGTCATGCGGCTGCATATCCGGAAGCAACACCTCCTATTCCCTACGCATGCGAGCAGACACCAAGGAGAGGCCTAGTGTACGACGCGACGTGAATGAATACATGTGTAGAACCTAATCAGTCTTCCTGTTGGCTAAGAGACGCTGCAGCCTCTACAGTGCTGAAAGGAACTTATGAGATGGAGTATAGGTTGCACTCCATATAGTTCTCAAAGCTAAATTTTCCTGGTAAAGAGAATACTGATCTCCGACTGTACTCGAAAGCAAAATTTCAAGCTAAATACCCTTGATAAGGGCAACAATATTGAAAATAGACATTTATAGGCAGCAATGAACATCTACGCACAAACATCGAAATAATCGAGTATAGGCACTATAAAACAGCATAAAAGCTTTCCCTAGCCTCTAATTTATGCTAATATATCAAAGTGGCACGATAGGAACGCAAGAAACAAACTAGGCATTTGCCTATAATGCGGTCTCTTCTCATCATGCGCTAAGGCCGTTTTGCCCGCTCCTCATATACCGAATTAGCTATCACGTCACGATAATAGACCACGAAGCTAAATGTCTCATCCAGTCATGACAATCACGATATGCGTGTCATGTAAAACTTGACTACAAGCTACACTGATAGCGCACTCGCAGCCGTTTCGCTAGCGCCACTTATGCCGAATTCGGTATCGCATCACGCGAATAGATGTTCAAGGTAAATGACACGTCCAAACTTGATAATCATTCCGTGCGTGTATGTGAAACATGACTACATGCAACGCTTACAGCGTGCTCGTGACTGCTTAACCAGCTCCACATATACCAAATTTGGTATCACGTGACGTCAATAGCGATGAAGGTAAATTACTCGTCGAATAGGATAATAATGAAATGCGTGCATGTAAAACATGACAACATGCTACGATCATAGCGTGCTCATGGCCGTTTCGCTAGCTTCTCATATACCAAATTTGGTGTCACGTGACGTGAAAAGATGAGGGTAAAAGACACGTCCAAACATGATAATCATGACATGCATGTATGTAAAACAAGACTACATGCTACGCACATAGCGTGTTTGTAGCCGCTTCCCACATATATGAAATTTGGTATCATGTGGCGTGAATAGACGACGAAGTAAATGACAAGTCCAAACATAAATACATGACATGTGTGTATGTAAAACATGACTAAATGCTACGCTTATAGCGTGCTCGTGGCCATTTTAGCTAGCTCCACGTATACCAAATTTGGTATGACGTGACGTGAATAGACGTCAAAGGTCAATGACACGTCCAGACATGATAATCATGAGATGCGTGTATGTAAAACATGGCTACATGCTACGCTCATAGCGTGCTCGTTGTGGTTTCGCTATCTCCTCATATACCAAACTTGGTGTCATGTGACGTGAGTATATGACGAAGATAAATGACACGTCCCTACATGAGAGTCTTGATATGAGAGTACGTAAAGTACGACTACATGCTGCGCCATAGCGTGCTCATAGCCAATTCGCAAGCTCCACATATAGCAGATTCGGTATCACGTAACGAGTATTCACGAATAACACCAATGCCGTGCGCAAACATAATAATCATACCTTGGAAATTACGTACGGCATAACTTATGTCCACCACGTAAAGTTGTGCTGATTTTAAGCTGACATATCTACTTTCCTTATTCGTGCTATGCATATCATCGATTCTTACTATATGTGGGACCTGCAAATTTTTTTGTGCTCATCGTATGGAAAAAACTCCGATCACTCACATCTTGACTAGGTCCTCAGAGCCTTTGCAAATATAATATGAAGTAATTAGCTAGTACGCTCACTTTGCCTGAGTGTTGTCTACCCTCAAACGGTTACCTTAATAATCCTCGAATTTCCACGCGAAAAGGTATTTCAAAATGTCTTGCTTGATGATGCTCAATCCACTTTAGCTTTGGGTAAAGCGAGACCCAAGACTAAACAAATCCGCGAGAAGTTTCGCAAAGCTACCATGTGCAATCACAATTGGTAAGGTTTAGTCGATATATATTACCAGATTTTGAAACAAAATCCTAGTAGTACAGCATATATATTCAAGGTTATTTTTCAGCGCGTATTTCGCTAGATATTGCCGCGTTCCTATTTGCGCCCAGCTATGCGCTGGCGTGGGTGAAGACGACAACCGATTCACGCGAGAGGCACGTCACAAAAAACAACTGCCCCTTCGATATTTAAATAATCAGTTACAAGATTACTTGACACACATGTTCATAAACAACATTATTGCGGCGGATGCATCCGTAATAAACAAAAACGCTAGAGTAGACATCTGCTGTAGTTCTTTCGAATGGTCTTTTTTAGTTCGATTACAAGATTACACGTCTATATTCACCGCTGACTTATTTGCTATGATTCTAGCACTTCGTAAACATCCTGCAAGCGAATCAGAAGCAGTCATAATTACTGATTCTCTCTCAGTATGCACTGTACTATATACAACAAAAAATTGACATTATTGAGTGTGATTAGCAGTTTATTACCAGCAAACTTGAAAAAATTTCACTTGCAATTGGTACCTGGCCACTGCGCGATTTATCTAAATGAGATGTCAGACTCATTAGCCAAAGCAACTTCAAGCGGACCACTCTTACCTATTTTACCTGATTTTGCCTATGTAACAGCACTCATATTTAGAAATCCTTGTTTGAACAAGGAGATGAAAAAACTATCATTGGATAAAGTCAGAGACTTCGTACATCTAAAATTTGGTTGAACGAACAGTGGTGGGTATCTCGGCCGTTAGAAATTACAATCACCAGATTACAATGCAGAATTCCGCACCTGAATAAAGCTGGACTCACAGCAACTCCGTTATGTCTTTTTTGCAAGGAATCAGAATCAATAGATCGCTTCTTTTTATCCTGTCAACAATATTTTTATCAAAAGAAAAGATACCTGGTTGAACCATCTGCGAAGCTTGGTTAAACAATAAACGTGGCAGTAATTTTTCCTTCAGAGGGATTAAATTAGGTTATAGCCACAGGGAGGTTTGCTTTGCCGTGTGTGCGTACATAATGGCAACAAAAAAAATTACCATGTTAGTCTATCGTTATTAATTCTGGCTACGAGACTATCTGAATGCCTGACTCATAACTAACTCACTTAATGAACTTGCCTCCCGGTTCTCGGCCGATCCCCTTTTGTGGGCGAGTGCCAGCAAAGCTAAAGGCTCATCATCGTCATCATCATCATCAAATCAGGAGAAGAAGCAGTTCTTTTGGCAGAATCCACTTTTGGTGTCTATGAGAGAACAGCGTTATTCTGTCAGTTGCAATAAAGTTCCCGGACTTTGGGAATTGCGACAAATTGTTTAAAAAGGCTCTGCAAGCTTTGTGAAATTGTTATACAATGCACAACTTTGTGTCGCATAAAATAAATAGGTTTTACTTCTCGAAATATTTGTACTTTACTATTGCCTTTACCTAATAACGTATATTCATGTTTTCAGGTAAACACAAGTGCACGCTATGGGGACTGTCAAAAAATGTTGTGAGTCAAAGTACAAAGTGTTACAAACAGATGAAGTTGCTGTGCACGAGCAATATGTATGACTTGACGAAGTCCAATAACCTATGCGATCATTTTGATCTTGGCGAAGACTCCGAGGAAGAAGAGTAATAATGAGTGACCATTCTAAAACTACCTCAATAAATCACTAATTGTATCAGAAGAGTTATTGCTCGAATAAAACATATTAAGGCCAGTTTTTGTACTCTAAAAATGGGGCAACCAAACTGGAAATGCGGGTGCCTGATGTTGTGGTCTTGTTAGGAACACCATTCAAAAGTCTTTTTCTAATGGTACGAACACAGTATTGATTGTTTGACATGAGAACGAGTGGCAATCGCAGCCGCCAACTTAAGCGGTTTTCTTCAAGTTAATTTATGCAAAGCATTGTCGTCTGCCAGGTGTTCTGCGTGCGCTGTTGCCTGAGCCCACTGGATAGAGATCAGTGGCGCCCAGTGGTGTGCCGACTTCTTCGCAAGTGGGGCAGGGGTGGGAGGGGCGAGGCTCTTCGACTCTACAACAGCATTCATATATATAAATTGGCTTGACTGCACAAACCTACGAAAACTTTTATTAATTTCTACATCTCGGCCGGGGTCTGGTCTTTGTCAGTGAATTGTACTTCCTGACAAAGACCGGACCCCGGCCGAAACGTAAGAATTAATAAACGTTTTCGTAAGTTCGTCCGCTGAATCCCACTTTTATTTATCACTGGAACTACAAAACACACTCGCTTAATATTTAAACCATTGTGTAAGCTAATTTGATCATTGATTGAAATAATGTCTTGGAAAAGAACGCAATCATCGGCAAATAATTGAATCTGGGCACCACCTTCAACTATATTAACAATGTCGTTAAAGTTCATATTAAAAAGGAGAGGACCAAGGACACTTCTCTGCGGCACACCTGATGTGACTTGAAGGAAGCCCGCTTTTTCACCATTATTTTGCACTAATTGATGTCGGTTTGTCAGGTATTGAGCAACCTAAGAAATTAACAATCCTGGGATTCCTGCGTTTTCAAGTGTCAGAATTATTTATCGGGGGGAGCAGTATAGAAACATTTTAGAAAGTCTAGAAAAATATGTCACTTTTTCCGTTTTTGTCAAGAGTTGACGCAGAAAATGAACAACAGTGGTCAGCTGTGTGACAGTCGAATGCCCCTCCCTAAACCCATGCCGATACTTAGTCAAAACAGAATGCTTCTCTAAATATGTAGTTATGCTGTTTGCGATTGTATGTTCAATAGGTTGGCATCATGACGCGATAAGAGAAATTGGACGGTAATTTTCAACGAGAAGACGATCTCCCTTCTTATAAATTGGTGCAATGCAGGCTGTCGTCCAGTCACTCGGTAATTCCGACAACAACAGTGACGTATGAAATATTATAACGAGAAATTTTAATATAGTGACCGCATATCTAAGAAGAAAAAATTAGTGATATTGTCAGGACCACAAGAACTTTGGCGTTTCAGGCTTAGCAGCATAGCAAGTACACCTAGTTCCAATACAAAATATACATAAGAAAGTTGCGGCATTGAACAGTTGTGTGAACAATCACTTTAATTAGAAAATACACTGAACAAACCTGATAATGTGATAGGTAGTTTGTAGCTTCTAAGTAACCATCTGTCCATTCACTGTCGTCTGTGATATTATAGTTTTTTTTCTTTTCGGCAATGTAATTCCAACACTTACTTGGATGATTTTCAATAAACTTCGGCAGGGACGTGGTAAAGTAATAGTCTTTCCAATTACGCACTGCAAGCACGAGCTCGTCTTGGAATTTTGATATAAAATATGGCTGCCTCATGTGCTTTCCTAAATCGTTTAGTTTTGTGCTTCATATGAATGATGTTGCCAGGGGTCCATGGTGTTTGCTTGTGTACTGGGTTTGTTTTATTTAGTGTGAGTTTGTCTAAAAAAAATGAGACTTTTCTTCGAAGCGAGTTCAAAGAAGGTTTACATTATTCTCAGCAAAATAAGTTAAGCAGTTTTCCAAGTAATGAATCACACAAACCTCGTTTACGCGAGAATAATCTTTGACAGAATGGGCACATAATTTATCGGTTTTTCTACAGGAAGTAAGCAGCAAGGATTATAGACAAGATAGTGATCTGATAGCTCGCGCTTGACAACTACCGTGAATTCAACAAATTTGCGAGCATGAAATAGCAGGTCTAAAAGTGATGATGAAGAATGATGCACGCGAGTAGGTTAAACTACAGCTTCCACGAGATCGTGGGTTAACAAGATTTTGAAAAGTATTTTAACATTCTGATTGTGATGAAGCCCAGAGTCATGGCACACCCAGTCTATACATGGCAATTAGAAGTCACCTACTGTAATAACCTTGCTACTCAAATATTTATTCATAATACAGCAAAATTCATGCGAAAATTTAGGGGCGGCGTCAAGGGGTCTATACACTGTGAGAAATACAAACCTATAGCCCTGTACGCCTTTGTGTGTCCACGCAATGTGTGTACCACATGCAGGGGATGTATACATCAACTCCGAACAATGGGTGTATACTTGTTTACAGCGCAATACCAGAAACACAAGGCAGCTAAGGAGCAAAAGTCCTGTGTTTCTGGCGTCGCGCTCTAAACACGATAGATCCCAACCAACTGTTCAGAATAGATCATGATAGATCCCGTTAACGATAGATCACAAGTTCCCGATAGATCCCAACCAACTGGCCCAACCTGCCGTCTTAAACAATGGGCGTATTGCGCAGTGCGTGCATAGGACAAAATGTGCTCCCGACACATTGTGATCATAAACAGCTTTACAGCACCTATTCTGTTGTCACGTGATCCTAGAGGATGGTGGCGAGGTTTGAGTAGGCGCTGCTTCTGCGCCACGACGTCGCCTCAAGCGACTCACCATGTCGACGCGTCTACCCCTGTTTTCAAATATGCAATAGGTCTATAGGAGCCCTTCAGATGTCAATAAGGTGGTGTATGACGTTCTTCTCAAGCTTCTTCATGAGGTTAGACGGAAGCGTCTTATGATGACGAGAATGGCGAAGCTTAATAAAGCTGTTGTTGTTGTTGTTATTGTTGTTGTTCTCGTATTGTTAGTGGCGCATACCCACTGTGAGGGATTGGCCAAGAATTGAGTGGTTTCAAAATTTACTGTTCAGATTTAGAATGATGGAGGTTTAACAGAAAGATTACCGATAGCCTAGGAAAGTGTGGTGCTTAATGTAATGCATACAAATATTTACATAAACAAATTTATTCTTAGAATAGAGCAATAATCTGGGGCCGGATTCACAAAACTCACTTACGAAAACATTTTTGCGAAAGAGAAATTTTGTTGCGTAAGTCGATTCACGAAACCAAAAAACGTCGTAAGAGGCCATCGTTGTCACATCGGCCGCTGCAAATAAAGCGCGCTGTGACTGTTCGGGAACATGTCAGCGATGGTGATGCAGTTTCTATATTTGCTTACGTCACCGAAAAGTGCTCGTAAGTAGATTCACGAAGCGAAATTGTGCGTAAAAACAGCATGGCTGAGAGAAAATCCTAAGGGTGGTCCAGACCACCCTTAGGAACAATGTGGCTACTTAGAACCTGCTGCCGCGGCGGTATACTTTGGTGCCCTGGCTGGTTTTGAGTTAATTCACGCCCATTAAGGGCTGCCTGATGACTGCTGGTGCGTTTTTATTTCTTTCGGCGCTTTGAGCTTCGCGTGTTGTTTCCCTTGTACGCAGTGGATGGTGTTGACAACCACCATCGTCCAATCAAAGTCGCATTAATTGAACAATTCTATTGGTCGTCAATGGCATAAAACTACGCATGTGAAGATTTGTGGTTGGATGAAAACCAATGTGATACGTGAATGGTCGGTGCATTCGAACGCGGCATGGCATAGGATCAACCTTATTTGTTATGTTGTTGTGTTGCGCCCCATCTCATCCAATTAAATGTGCGACTCGAGATCCTTGCCTCATTGGTGGAAATTACCACCAAAGAGGTTAATGGGAGCACATTCTTTGCACGCTATTGGAAATAAAAATGAGAGGAAATTTTCAGTGAGTGGTTCATAAAGTTTGTGCTCTAGTGTACTTTCATTGGCTCTAACTGTCCAATGGTTGCGATCTCTGAAATACAGCTGTCGATACACTTTGGGACGATCTGGAACAAAGCGTACTTTGTAAACCAAAGCGTATTAGGGGTGCGCGTGATTACGCATGAAACTACAAACAAATCATGCATCTTCACCTTCACTGTTCAGACGCCGATATGAACCGTGATAATATGGCAAGCAATCGGAATGAAATGACCCTAGTAACTTTGTATGACACCGAAAATATGCAAACCCTCACGATTCTGGAGCAAACCTTGGCTGAATTCATCCCTGCATCAATTACCAGCCATTTAACTTGGCGCACGAACATCATTCAAAGGTAGAGCGAGCCACTGACATGTATTTTGTGCGACGCAGCGACCACTTGACCTGAGAATAATAGCGTTTCGAAGGCGAATACCCTGTCGCATGCTCTGATCGAAGCAGACGACAAACGCGAGCAGACGACGGCTTGGCCGACAGGCAAAGCTTGTGATTGGTTGTGAAGCAATACCCTCTACATCAGCTCACTCCGTGACGTAGCCAAAACACTCCTTTCATCTGGCACGCCTGTCCTGTTCGTCATATCACCCCCCTCGCACATAAGAGAAAATTTTTTCATGCCGTGAAAATACTGCAAGTACTTTCTAAGAGCTCTCTTATGTGCAGCGCAGTTGTCGAAAACAACATGGCGTCGTAAACAGCATATCGGTCGGTGCGACTTTCAGCAAACGCTTCTCGCACGAGTTACTTCAGCGTTTGACCGGATGTGTTGTGATTACAGCAGCTCTTTCGGTGCGTGTAAGCAGTGCGGAAAGCTGTGGCAGTGCAATGGTGTACGGTGAAGCGCAGTGAAGCCTGTGCGTCGGTGTGGTTATCAAGCGGGGATCGGCGTCGATTTATCGACGGCAACTAGCACTCGATAAGCCTGCAATGTGTGTTTGTGTGCCGGTAACAGTTCGTTCGCTTGACTTTCCAGTCTCTCAGTTGGGTGCTGTGCGACATTTCGGATTGACAGCGTTTTGACACGTTACTTGAGTGACCCCAAGTACGTACGAAAACGTATTAACTACGCGCTCGGTTCTTGCT